GGGGAGCACTGCTGCGCACCAGGTTCTGCTAACCGACGCCATTGAAATGGCCGTCAGCAAGTCTGGTTGCAGTATCGCCAGTCTGACATGAGCGCCCTGCCGGTCGTAGTCCATGTCAACGTACCGTTGCACGAAGACAGCCAGGCCATCATATGGGCGGCGAGAGGCCCAGAGGCGTGCTTGCTCTTGGATCTCGTCCCTGAGCTGCAGGATGGGAATAAGAGTGCTGGGGGGCCTATATGCAGCGATTTCAGTCTCCAGCATATCCCTGTCCAGACCGGAGTCCGAGTAGAAGTCCACAATGACCGCACCGGGAATGATGAAGGAGAGAGCGCGGCGACATGATCCGGTGCAGAGAGAGGATGACATATGCTATGGTTATGGCTGGACGGCTGAGAGCAAGCCAAGAAATGACTGCGGAGAATCCTTCCTTGAGCACTGACCGGTGAGCTGCAATGCTGCTCGGATTTGCCTTTTGAAAGAGAGAATCGGCGCGTCTCTTGGTCTGTGACCAAGTGGCTGGAGGCTGTGCCATCTGACCTAAAGAGGGCTACGCAAGACAGAAGTCGGAATGAAGTTCACCTGCTCATAGTGGACGCTTATGGCCTCTCTCGAAAGGGTGCCAGCTTGATCCGGCAGAACTTCAATGAACACTCCTGCTCCTTGCTTGCGCAGATGGATGTAGGCTCTCCACACCCCTATCCAGGGTTTGCCGTCTAGGAGACGAGCAATTTCGGAGTACCACGCACGGCAGACCGCCGCGAGCCGTATAGCCTGTAGCAGATTCAGATTGACAATGCCGAGCTGAGCATGCACTCCGTTGTGGTCGCCAACAATGGAGTACTGCGAGAAGGGGCTCGTTCTGGCCCAACGTAGGAGTAGATCCTGTAGCCGATCACGAGTTGCACGAGCTTCATCATGCAGCAGGTCCAGATCGTTCCAGTAGGAGTTTGGGTAGGGCGAGGCGTCGTAAGAGTCAAGGGTGAGTACCCCTGGTAGAAGATGTATCATAGCGTGGCGCAGGGAAAGCCCATCCATGGCATTGAGCGAGTCTCTTAGAGCCAGCTGACAGAAAAGTGGCAGGCAAGGGGCGTGCCGAGAAATGAACGTGACTCAAGGCGCACACCCTACGAGCTACGACTTGTCACGGAATATGCCCAGTTTTCAAGCCGAGAGCACTGTTGCTGGCTGCAAAAAGTTAGACTCCTTAATGGCACGTTTAGTCCTGTTGCTCGGTCTCATTCTGCAGGGCATCATAGCTGTCAAAGAGGAGCGCATGCCAGGCGTTAAAGCCCGAGGCGCGGTAATCGGCTGCGGGAGCAGTTCGAGTCAGAGGAGAAGTGAGTTTCTCGACCGGCAATCTGAACGCCATCGAGACCGGAAGGTAGAAGATGTCCTGGCCTTCGCGAACCGACACTGAGCCTGACTTTCGCAAACGTGACATCGCCACCAGAAGTTCCACTGTATTGATGCGGGCGTGACCAGATATCATGTCGGATATGAGGTCATGCCAGACGCGATTAACAGTGGCAAGTCGTCGGACTTGAATAAGACGCGGCTGCGTGACCTCGTAGACAAGATGCATGTCCTTCGGGTCCTGCGTGTCTTGCGCAGTTGGGGGGATGTAGGTGATGGAGAGGGCCGGCCAGTGATTGAAGCACTCTTGAAGAAGTTTCAGGAGGCCCGTTCTGGCTGCTGTCAGGCCATCCCTGGTGGTGAGACCTTGTCCTGTAAGGCTGGACTGGCTGCTCGAGTCATCGATGGCAGTTCTGTCCAGGTCCGTCAGCTGCAAGTAGAAGTCGAGGCTGAGGAGCATCGGCGTCAGGAAGTGAAAGATGCGCTGAACGAAGGCGTCTTCCATCAGTACAGGCAAGTGTATGGAGGGCAAAGCCAAACTTATTAGAGCCAAGAAGTACTGAAGAAGTGCAGTGACGTTGTCACAGCGGTGCAGATACGACACGTGCTTGCGTACCTGCTTTAACATCAAAATACGAGCAGAGATAGGTCAGAGACTGTGTCTCAGCTCGAGAGGCTGTGCCATTCGTTCTAACTAGTCATCTGTGGTACCTAGCGGGAGGCGAAAACCCAGCTCAGTCAGGCGCTGTTGCAGCGTTGGTGAGAAACGAGAGGCTCCTCTTACCGTGTAGGCCGCCAAAACGACTCGAGTAAAGGTTTCCCACGGTTGAGTTGCATGCCATAACACATCCGCCCGGAAGGAGAGGCTAAGGCCGCGGAGGTCAAAGCAGCTTCCCCGGATCATCCCCTGCTGGTTTGGGATCTCCTGGTAGTCACAGCCTTCAGGGTCTTCAATCCAAATGCCGCCATTGTCGCAAATGGAAATCGGGATGAGCAATGTACCCAAGGCTGCATTGTTAGCGTCTTTGTGAAGTGGGGAGTGCACATCGACCAAGACCTCGAGAGAAGTCCACTGGTGTTCTGGACGGCATGAGTACACGAAGGCGTTGAAGAGCCGAGTGACGTTGGGGTGGGAGATGGTCTCCTTTAGCAGGCCAGGAAGAACGCGGCAGACGGCCCCGACCCGAAATCGCTGTCCACGGGAAGAGCCAGCCGCACGAGGGGTGCACTCCCATCTGTCGTGGGGTTCGAAGGGTAGGTACTGCAGAACCTGACGGACCGATGACCAGATGGAAAGACAGCGAGAAGTGATACAGCTGCTCGCTATCTGCTCTGCTTTGGGTACCATGTGTGACAAGCCCCCATGTGGGATGGGATTGATCAGGTAGCCGTCCTCTGCCTCTGAGCAAGCCATGGTAGTCATTGAATCGAGATAGGTCTCGAATCGCTGCCACTGCAGGGGTGGGAGAGCCTTGTATGCCCATGCCGTGATGTCATTGTAGGGCCATGTTCCTGCTGCCAACGGCAGGGACACTTGGGCCTCCTCACAGTACAACTTTAACGCCGAGAGAGTGAGGTAGTCCTCCATGTAATCTGCGAAGATCGCAGCGGGGAAGGAAATGGCCCGGATTGGGCCGTCATCCTCGCCGACCATTGGCACTAGCGCAAGCGGTGAGCCGGTAACCGATTCTAAGCCAAGCTCTAGCAAACGGTAGCTGGACAGTGCTGGCAACTGCGCTCAAGACATATGCTCAGGTTTTTCCCGGGCTAAGGCCAGCGCAGTAGGCATTGGGTCGGAGTCTGTGACTCAGGTAGCTTTGGACTGTGTCCTATTCCGCGACGAAATGGTTACAGTAGCCGCATGGCGGAGGCTGTGCCATATGCCGCTAGGGTGGACTGTGTCCTTCGATTGAAGCCTAGTCCATTTCCGCCCAAATGCCCTGCAGCTCAGTAGCCGGTGTCGAGGGCGCTGGCTCGTTCGAGCTGGCAGCCGGTGGAGGTGGTGGAGGCGGAGAATGCTCGAGGGGATTCTCCAACATGAGGTAGCCATCCTGGTTGCTGTACTTTTGGTACGGCAGTACCTCTGTGTACATAGTCCTGATGTGGCTGCCCATGGTCCGGAGCCGAAGAACCGAGCGTAAGCAGCTGATTCCTCCCAGCTACCGGAGTCAAGAGGAGCCCGAGTCGGATCTTCTGGCCCAAAAAGCCCTGATGCATTGGATTTTTGCTGCCTGGGGTAGGAGAAAACGGCAGTGGCCAGCCGAATATTGCCGGTCTCTTCGTACAAGCCGGCTTGCACTGTGATCGAAGGATCTATGGCAGTCTCGTACCAGCTTCCTCCGGGAAAGGCAGATTCTGGCCATTTGGGTGGAGTGAGGCCAGCGAGATTCTCCCATTCTGCCAGCTCGACGCGCAGGTGTTTGGGGAGCTTCGGGGGCATCGGGAAGCCCGACGCAGTGTTGCGCCAGCACTTGTTGCCCACAACTTCGACGGAGATCGTCTTGCTGAGCCGGTAGTAGTCGCCTCTGACGGTCCTGGTGGGACGCTCCAGGAATTCGTGAGGAGGACGATGAAGCGCTCCTCCCTGGCCTAGGGCACCGTAGCCCAAGCTAAGAGGATAGACACTTTCCCCCGCCGTACCTCCAAAATCGATCAAGACATAGGTGGGGGGGTCAAAGCGAACCATGATGTTGCCCATGTGGATGTCCGCGTGGACCAATTGGCTGGAGTGCACTGCATTGAGGGCAGCCCGGATGTCAGCCACAAGGTTGACTACATGGTCAGTGGTCATGGAGGGGATATGGGCAGGGAATAGTCGAGGTAGTAACAGTGTTGGGCCTTGCTGCCAGAAAGCCTCGATGATGGTATTGATCGGCGGGAGGCGCGATAATCTGCTAAACTCTCGTCTGGCCATGTACTCTTCCTGCGGCCGCGTGACTTTCTTGAGCACAAAGTTTGCAGCACTGGAATTGAAGACCGCGCTGGCGTATCCCGTAGCGATGCTCTCGCCTGAAGGCTCTGGCGAGATGGCGGCCGTCACTTGGGGGTCGACCGGTCGTCGAAGTCCAGGCATGTGGCTCCGACCGAGAGCCTCATGCACTCCATCAGGATAGGGAGCACGATACATCCCAGCGTGAGTGGTGCTGCACTGTGTGCTACCTGCCACTGGTAGCTTGAGCCCTGTGACCTGGTTACAAAGCATCGGAGTGCAATTGCAGGAAATCGCATGGCAACCAGTTTTGCCCTCTGGTAGCAGGCTCCTACTATTACTATTACCACGACAGCGACCACGACCACTGCCACTGCCACTAGCACCTCCCACTACTACTACTACTACTACTACTACTACTACTACTACTACTACTACTACTACTACCACCAAGATAGCGACCACTGCCACTGCCACTGCCACTACTACTACTACTACTACCACTACTACTACTACTACTACTACTACTACTGCTACTACTACTACTACTACTACTACTACTACTACTTCTACTTCTACGTCTGGGACGACGACGACGGCGACGGCAACCGACTGGCTGAAATGTAAACTCCGAGCCGCAACATCCTGCACGAAAGTTATGTACCAAGATCCCAAGCTGCACGTTCCTGATGTCCCCAGACCTTCGCGCATGGAGGCAATGCGGTGGCCGGCCGGGCCGAAGCTGATGCAGAGATAGAGTGGAGTGGTTGACGGCTGATGGCTTCAGGACTCGAGGTTCATGGCAAGTTTAGGGATTAATACCATCGACATTTTCTTTGCGAAGTGGCAAGTACCAGGTAGGAGCAGCGACAGCAGCAAAAGCAGCTGCAGCAGCAACAGCGGCATTTAAAAGACCCAGAAGGAAGTAGATAGTAGTGGGTATGGGTTAGGTGGCAGATGGTAGCAGAAAGTAGTGCGCAGGGAAGCTGCGAATACGTAGCAGAGAGTGCACAGGGGCAGCTGGGAGTATGTAGGTACCGGGAAGTATTTGCCCAGTAGGTAGTGGGAGTGGGTAGCCGGTAGTCGATAGTGGGTATTAAGTAGTAAGTTAGGAAGGAGGAGTAGGAAGGAGCAGGAGCAGGGGCAGGAGTGGGAGCTGTTCTTCATACTGTTGTCGTTGGCTGCTGCGGTTGTGGCTGCAGTTGTAACTGTTCGTGGCCGAAACGACTGCTGCTGATTGCGGAGCTGGACGTGCGTGGCAAGCGTTCGAGAAATGAAGTCGTCTCAGGTCCGTTGCTGCACACATTGCCCTAGAAGAAAGCCTTGAAGGAGTTGTAAACGACTGCAGCTCTATTCCTGACACCTGAGGGCCCCTAAGCTTGAGACCCTACCTCTTCCTGCAGCTCAATATTCCAGTAGATATCAGGAAACTTCATCCACAGACTTCAGGCATGAGTGCAGTTCATTATCTTGCTGTTCAGAATCGATTTTTCCACTCCTCCTCCTGCTCCTTCTCCTCACCGTCATCACCGTCCTCACCATCAGTCAGCATCGTGGTTATTAACTATCAACATCAACTTGGGCATCTTCTTGTCGTCATCACCTAAACCCTAAACTCCGACCTTCCCCACCTCGTATGATAAGCGCTGGATGGAGCCGTATAAGCTCCTTGAATACTTACAGATATGGACCGGCTACTCCCGAGCGTCTTTCAATGTAACGATCTTAGAACATGCACAGGAAAAACCCGTTCGAATTATTAAGGCTCAAAACACAACCGCGCCCAGATCGGCCGGAAGACGGAGGACGGGCCGTTCGGAGCCGAGAAACGACAGCTCAAGGACGGCTCAGGGTTGAGGGTCGTGGCTCAAGTTTTGATTTCAGGCAGCCTGGTTGAAGCTTCCGTGTCTTCACGTTTCGGATTGAGAGTGCGAGCTTGTGCATCCTGCGTTTTAACCTGGTTCACTGCTTGCCGATGGCGGCTTGACGCTAGGGATTCAGGGCTTCTCGGGGTTTCTAGCAGTTTGAGGAGCATCGGCAGCATTCTCAAGGTGGATTCTGGGACATCATGCGGCTTATATAACGATATAATGCCTATCCTACGCATTCGGCTTTACCTTCTGCCCGAAGTACAAAGCTCAGATCCTAAAACTGCCTGAATCCCTAGAGCACAGACACATGGATGTCCTTGCGGCCACCAATCCGAAATTCTAGATCCCTGAAGCACCAAACCCTAATCCAGCAAAACAGTGGACCCTCATATAGTACCCTAAACAGTAAGTGGCTAGAAAGCTGGGGAATGTTCTGTGCTCAACAGCCAGGCTGAAGTGGATCAGCTTCAAGCGAACCTGCAGGAGCTCAATGAGATGCTTGGCCCACATACTATAGGGGTCTTAAAAATTGCCTATACTGTCTTGGGGGCCCGTTGCTGTAATTATAGTATAATGGGCCCCGAAAGCCTATTCTAATTATTCAGGCCAATATATCATGGAGCCCTTATAATAACCCTTATTTTTCGTTTTTAAAGGGACCCTTTAAAGGAACCCTATTCTAATTTAGTACAGGCTTAGGTTGGAGCTGTTGAGCAAGAACCCGCTTTTCCACATTCTACTACCTAAGCCTGCTCCGACTCCTCATCACCTACGCCTCATTTGCGAGGCTGCACCGTTTCAGGCTTGCAGGAACCCTTGTTGCACCGAAAGGAGCCTTCTATTATCATTCTATTGTTATTCTTATTGTTATTATTCTTATCACTCTTATTATCATGATTATTGTTATTATTAGTATAAGGATCTTGATGTCAACCCCTTTAGCAACAGCGTAAGCCCTGAAGTCAGGATGAAAAACTCCCTCGCAGAGCCCACGGAAGCTGCCGAGGCGCCAACGTGGTGTTACTCTTTGTCCGAGTTTAGGTTAACTTAGGGTTACCTTTAAAGGGATCCATAAGGGTTCCTTCAAGGGATCTATAAAGGGTTCTATAAAGGGTTTAGGGCTAGAGTTTCCGAAAATTAGAGGTACCGTATTTTGGGGTCCTTATAATAAGGATCCTACTATTCAGGGTACTCAGAGGAGCTTTCATCATCATCGCGACATCGCAGCACCCGCCCCTGTTCATCTCCTGCACAGAACAGGCACCGGAACAGCCGTTCTCCCAGCAGCTTCTGTTTGTGTTGCCATTGTTAGAGCCACTACTGTATGCTCTTCTTCCGAATATCCTAGCTTTGTGCGACTGATACGGTTGCACATGTCAGTTCTGAAAGTTACTGTAGTGGCGGTGCGGGGGGCGGCAGCAGCACCAGCAGAAGCAGAACGAACCCGGAGCAAGCGTAGTAGCAGTGACAGCAGGAGCGGGTGGCGAAGCTGCGGCATCTCATTGAGGAGACGCAGCCGCTCCTGGCCAAGAAGGTGCCCAATGGGTCGGTTCAGGGTTTAGGGTTGCACCTCACGGGTCCCTTTCTAAAATGCCGAAGACCTCTATGCTCCAAGCTTCGATGAACTTCAGCTCCCGCGCTTCACGATGTCTTGAGGGATCAAGCTCTCCGATTGGCTTCGAAGTTCTCGCATTGTCTTGGAGTTTCCTCTGTTTGGATCGAGCTTTCGGCATTCAAATTTCGGATCTTAAGAGCTTTGCCTTCGAGGGCGGATTTGGCTGAGGTTCAAGTTCCACCCGCTGTGCCCGATTCGCCCAAAACTCCATTGCTGAACCCCAAAACCTAAACCCAAAGCCCTAACCCCACAACCCTTGACACTAAACCCCAGCACCCTAACTCAGATGCTTGAGACTTCAGGCGGACGGAAAGGGCGCTCAACATCAGAAAGCCAAACTTCCAAACAACAAGCGAGACAGAAGCCCGCAGGAGCAGCTCCGTCGCGAGCAGTCCCGGGTCGCGGAAGAGAACGAAGACCTGGAGAAGGAAAGCAGCCAAAAGTGCGGTTTGGGGTTTAGGGGCTTGGGTTTTCCATAAGATATCCTTGCTTTGCTGGCTTACACGACGAAGGGGTCCCGCAATGGCTTTATGAGGCTCTCACCGTTATAGGGTTCTGGGATGGAGGGGACAATACACTACAGAACCCTGAGTAATTGCCGATGCAATTCCTTTGGATTTCTCTAAGTAGTACGTATACTATGATGAACTCCAGAACCCTGTTCCAGTTCTTAAGGCATCTATATTTGGGTGTAGGGTCTATATTGAGGTTTTAGGGGATTCACAGCTCTGAAGTGTTTGAAGCTCAGCACCCAACTTCGAAGTTCTCGGGCTTTAAAGCTGAGACCTTGCAGCCCTATTTTTGGGTACCTAGCTCCAAGGGCGAGTTTTTGCGATTTTCCTGCGTTGGTCTTTACAAAGTTGTTCACCGTTCTGTGCAGATGTGTTTCGGAGGATGAGCCTCAAGCTACCTGTTTGGGGTGTAAGGTTTCCAGTCTTGCGTCTGAAGATTTCAGGCTTAGGGACGCGCATCGGGAAATTCGGATAGAAGGAGTCGAAATTCTGGGAGCTGCAGCCTAGATAGGCTTGCCAATACGTTTCGGAGAACCCTGTGCGCTCCCCGACCTTCGACTCAAGGCCCGACACCCCAGAGGCACCTCATAGGACAACCTTTCGAACAATGCCACAGTATCAGTACCCTGCGCAGTCTGAGACCCCAAGAACCGCACGCCTGAGCCCCAAGCCCTAACCCCCAAACCCTAAACGCCACTACACCTTAAAAAAAAAAAAAACCCTAAACCTTAAACCCTAAACCCCTAAACAGCACCTCACAAAAAGAAACCCTAAACCCCTAAAGCCCCTAAACTGCCGAGAGAGCCCTACAGCCTACGCCCGAAGCCCGAAGTGAGGAGATCGAGCCGGGGCCCCATCCGGGGCCTAGAACTTGGGGCCCACAGCCTCGAGCACCGAGTCCTCCGGGGCTTATTTCAGTTACTTAACATACTTGGGGGTTCATGGGATTATAAGTATAGTTACTTTATTTATAACCATAGTTACTAAGTCCCATGAACCTTCAAGTAGGGCTCGGAAGAGTTTTAAACAACAGAACGAGCAGAAGGATCTGGTACGTAATGTGTGGGTCGGAAAAAGTTAGGAAGCATCCCATACAAGCCGTGTACAGATACCGTAAGGTCCCTATATTATGTTGCTTGTGGACCTCGGATTTGAAGGGTTTAGATTTCAAGCTACTTGCTCGCAGTTTAGGGGCATTTCGTTAGGCTTTAGGGCGTACGTTTTATCTTCTAGAGTTAAGGCTTTAGTGGCTCAGAATGCAGGGTTGTCGGTGGACATAATTCATTTTGCCTGAGTTCCTGGGTTCTCAGATTATTCGATAGCAACTCCTTATCTTTCCCTGTCTTCTTGTCTCTGTCGCCTGTGGCCGTTTGCTTGTGGAGGCTAGTCCAGCTGTTGGTTGGCGGTTGTTCCGCCATGCCGTGAACACGCAACAGTTCTCTTTTACAGGGTTTTGGGTTCGGGGTTTAGGGTTTAGGGCCGTTCAGCCTTCGTAGAAAACAAAAAGAACCGCTTCACCTAGCGAGGTTACCAGAGGAAGAGTTTTGATCATCGATGCAGCTGCAGCTAGACATCTATGCTTGTGCTGCTGCTGCTGCTGATGATGATGATGCAGTGATCTTGGTGGCGATTGCTTCTTCCAGTCTTGACGATGACAGTGACCACGAGAATGGCAGATGACAGCAGCCGTGCTAGCAGTAGCAGTGGGCCTCTTAGCAGCAATAGTTTGGACAACAGCGAGTGAAGCACAAGTACTGCCACAAGCTACAGCTGCACCAGAACGCATCTGGTAATGATGTCAAAGCCGCCCCAAGAAACCACACCAATTTTGGGCGAGGGAGCTGCAGCAGCACCGCGCCAAGAAGCGGCCCAGTGTGAAACCGCAGCTTGACTTGACTTGTGTTTTTGAGCGGTTGTTTTTTGGTCTGTAGGGGGTTTAAGACCATCAGATCATCCGAACTCTGACACGAGGGGGTGGCCCCGCCATCCCTGGCCGTATGTTTTTGCCAAGCCTTGGGCCCAGGCGCCAGTCGGTGGCCCTGGCGAATCCGAAGCGCAAGATGTCGCAGCGACCGGCTAGCCTGCTGCCTCCAGTAAAGCCGTCAGCTTAGGGGAGCACCCTGAACTCTTAGACTTAGACCTTACGGGCCGGAAGCCCTAAGGACCCAGGCCCTAAACCCCTAAACCCTAAACCCTAAACCCCAAATAGAGCCCAGCAGGTTGAAAACCTGTGGGGCGGGCAGTGTCTCACTCGGACCCCCCTCGACGCCGGTGCAGGGGCAAAGATGAAAGCAACAGGTCTGCAGGGTCTTGGGCCGAAGGGACTCGGTTGCTGCCCTTTGGGGATACCCCCCCCCCCTAACAAAAACTTTAAGTCCGAAGGCCTAACCCCTGGACTCTACACCTGATGCCTTGAAGTTTAGACCCTCGACTCTCAGCCCGAAACCCTAAGTCGCAGCTCAACTTTCCAGCTTCGGCTACTTTAGGCGGTAGCGTTGTTTCGATTTGTGCTTCAAAGCTTGGGTCCCGCACCTATGGGCGGTTTGGTAAGGATCCCAGTGTACTCAGCGTCTGCATTGGGGTCCCCTATGATCAAGGAGAGCTCCGAACCTACTGTATGGCTGCTGTTGGCAGTCCTTCCTTTGTGTTTGCAACCCTTGGTTTTGGCTTAGCGCCTTGAGCTCAGTCTTGACGAAGTCTATTCTGTAAATCTTGATCGAGGCCTACTCTCAAGACTCATCCCAGCCGCGATTAAGTGTTCTCGGAACTGCATGCCGCTCGGAACTGCATGCCGCTGCCACAGGAAGCCGCTTCGCTCCAGCAATTCCCCGTGACAGCAGGCCCACATGCAGAGACACAGACACCCCCCGAAGCCCATGAAGAAGAACCCTCAAGGCCCAAGTCCCCCTGTCGTGAACTCATCTAGACCCGGGGATTGCCGGGCCCTTGGACTCCTCGCCATGCGGGAATCCCTGTGCCGAGCAGCCACCTCGCACCTCGCCCTCCTCTCACCAGAGGAGGAGCGGCTTTGGCATGGGGTGTCGGTCAATAAGAGGGGCCCTTTTTTGTGCCCCCTTTTTTGTGCGCTTAAAGGACTACCCTTATAGCACGCCTGCGGAGGCTGTGGAGGAGGCTCTGCCCGTGCTGGTTCTGGCTGCAGAGGCGCAAAGGGAACCGAAGGAATTCTCGGGGCTTTAGGAGTAGGTTCAGGGTGTACGAATTTAGAGTCTTTAGCTCAACATTTTTCATGTTAAGGTTTAGGCCAAGCGGCTGTCAGGCTGCTGCGTCGGGGATTCACGAGTAAGGCTTGATTTTTGGTGGTTTTCGGCAGGATGTGAAGTACCTGAGACATGTAGGGCTGATGTCAACACGATATGTCTCATTGTGGCTGAAGATGTTTCTTGTATGCCGCTGGCGCTACCAGATGATCGTGATGCCACCGTTTCATGTTCTGCGTGGCTGTATGACTCGTCAGCTCTCTCTCTCTCGCTCTCTGTTGTTCTCTTTTCTCTATCTCTTTCTGCTGCATCTGTTTCTGTGGCTCTGTCTCTGAGTCTCGTCCGCCACAACGAGCTCCATCCGCTCGCTTTGAATCTCCACCTACGTAGACCTTGAGTGCTTGCAGCGCTTCTTGGATGTCAATGTAGCCGCCTCGCCACGTACTGATTGGTGCCTTAATTTTAATATTTACCAATGCTTTTATAACTATAGTATAATGGGCTCCAAAACCCTACGTATTCTAATTATACAGGCCCTTATAGTACTGGGAGGGTTGGGGAGGCTCCGAAGTTCCCAGACACAGGCCATTGCCGACTGCCTGTCCTTTGGCAACCCGTTGAGGAGGACCAGGCAGACCTGCAGTTGCGGAGCCTGGGGATTTAGCCTTGGAGATTTCGAGGTACAGGCTACGGCTTCTCCTTCTGACCCTACACCCGAATCCGTTTCTGCATCGCTGCCTTTGCGCGTTTCTTACCACCACCACCACCACGTACCTACTACTGCTGCTACTACTACTTCTTCTTCCGCCACTGCTTCTGCTGCTGCTGTAATCACATGACCACCAGTAACGCGAGATCGTTGTCATTGCTTGATATCGTGACACTAGTCTTTTTCATCGTTCCAGCGCAAGCTGTGGAGTGTTGCGAGTGTTGCACGTGTTGAAGCGAAAGTGACATGGATTATAAAGCAAGCCTCAGACCTAAGACTGTTTTCGTCCTAGGAGTCCGTTCAGATTAATGGCGCGCCACGGCTGCCCACCTCGTCCAACCCCTTGAATCCCTTGTCTCCCTTGTCCTTGCTTCAGAACCCCCACTACCTCGCTACTGTCTTCTCCTATTCGTCTGACTCCTGTCGTTACACTCATTAAGCCGTATGTTTGGGCAGCTAGATCCCCTCGTTGCCAGGGCGGCCGCAATACAGGAGGTCTTCCTGCAGGCCGGTTGAGAGGGTGCTGGATATGAATCAGGTCTGGGTTTCCGGGTGGTAGGGCCATGCTCGCCTGGCACCCCTGGACCCAAATCCAGTCTTGTTGATGAATAGAATATAACCTCCATCGCCCTGAAAACTGGAAAATGTTTCACACCAGTGTCTACAGGTCTTCCGTCATACCGGCTACTTCTCGCGAAACTGTCCAGTCGTCGCCAAAGCAAGCACACCGGATCAGTTAACTCCGGCCCTGTTAATCTCAGGATGTGCAATATGATCTTCTCAAAGTTCTTATTACAGGTAAACCACAAGCTGCACCCAAAAAGCCGCAAGATACCTCCAAACAAACTCGGTTCCAATTCTTTCAGGCCCCCTGTTTTTGCAAACTGTGGCCCACAACACGCTCTCCAGGAGAGCCTTGATGAGAGCGACGAAGCAGCGGCTCCTTTCCTGCCCTTTGAAGGACCCAAAGCAATAGTACGATTAGGGTATTAGGGTGTTCGGGTATTAAGGCAGTAGGGTAGTAGGTACTAGGGTATTAGCGTATTAGGGAACTGGGGTAGTAGGGTAGTCGGGTATCAGGGTATTAGGGTATTATTCTATAGGCTTACAGTAAGGTTTTCCAGGCCATGTTTGCCAGACTCAGGCCTGCGACATCTGAGCGTATCGAGGGTTGCAGGGGCTCCGGGTTTTGAGAGTCAGGATACGGGAAAGCACAGGATTTCAGGCCAGAGGCTTTGGGTCGCGAGTTTGGGCTTGTAGGTGCAAGATGGACGCCAATCTGCTCTCTCTGTCTGAGATTGCGGCAGGGCTTCTGGTCTGTACCGCTGTTGCTGCTCAAACCTGAACCTGGGAACTTGCATCAGCTGTACATATCTACATGTCAATTGCTCACGCCCAGACCTATGTAATGTGTACATTCGATGTTGGTATATGTACATTATATATATATATATATATATATGTTATTTTATATGTTTATATACGCATACATACACATACATACACATACATACACATGCACACATACGCACGTACCGCAGCGCACACACAAACAAGAATGAATCAAACCAAACTCTTAAATCCAAAAATCCCACAATGAATACGTAAACAGTAAGTAAGCAGAAAAGCATGAAGAAATACCTACGTACATGCACAAACATATATATATATATATATATATATATGGGTATGTATATCTACCATATGTATGTATCGACAGATAAATAGGCAGACAACACATATGGAAAGACACGAGCATGTGCAAACCACGCGTGTAAAGGACAGGTGAGCAACTAAAGAATGCAGCAAGTAAGTATGCGTATTGCACCTTCATGTCTAGCTGTCTGTCCAACAGCGTGACGAAGCTTCTGCCTGCAGTTTTTGTACATCCAGCCGTCCGTCCGTGCGTCGCTCTGTCAGTTAAGTGGCGTGTATTTCTGTATGTACGTATGTGTGTATGTATGTATTATCTATCGGACATGAACATCTGCCAGCCAGAATTACGTAGGTTCTTATCTGCGCACTGTGATATAGCACGTTCAGGTTCTGAATGAAGAGTGGCAGCCACCGACCAGCTTCTGAAACATTCCCACCTGAACCCTGTACCTTTTTGCCCCAACACCGCTGGCTGACGCCCTGCTCTTGCCACCAAGCGTGCACAAACCCCTCAAGCCCGAACCTCGGCCGCCCAGGCTCGGTGCAAGGCCATCCGCGAGGCCTGAAGTGCGAACCTATTCGGAACCGCTTGCTCCGCAATAGAAAGACTTGCTAACTGTTCGAAAGAAGATGCTTCTGTAAGTACAACAACATAACTGACATTATCTCATCCATCGGCATGATGTGATGTCAGCCCTTGTGGCCGAACGTGGTACATTGCAGTTTACTCCTACCCCTACTCCTACTCCTTACTCCATACTCCCACTCCTGCTCTTGCTCCTGCTCCAGAGCCAGCTGCTGCTTCTACTGCAAGAAAGACACGCAGCCTGAACGTACGAGGCCTTTGCGGACGAAGTGCACAAAGCAGTTCTGACGACACCCTCCGCAGTGGTCGCCAGACATGTGGAGGACGCGATTTGGGTAGCAGTTCCGGCTCAGGTAGCTAAGAATTTCACCATGAGTCCGAGGAAAACAAAGCTCCTTAGCCCCACACCTGCCTTATAGGACCTTATAGTACCCCGACAGAACCATCATAGCACCCTGACAGAACCCTCATAGTACCCTGATAGTACCCTCTTAGTCGCTCGGACGCTCAACGCCTGACTGCTCTGACCAGATGCTTTCAGGCCTTGAGCTGCGAGATTTGGGTTCAGGGTTCGTGTTTTTTGAGATTCCGACTTCGGAAATGGAAGTCGGAATTGGCACCGGGGTGGTCCCTTTCACATGCAAGACGTGATGTGCGCCTCAAAGATCGATCGCCAGTTGAATGACATTGCACAAGCCAAAGCCGCCACCTCAAGACCCAATTCACAAACCCTAAATCCGATCCGAAAGCCTTGAAGACCAAAGGTGCGCGAGCAGCTCTGCAGGTTTCAGACCTTTGCCCGAGTTCCGGAAATCAGTCCTTGCGAAAGGAATGCACTTCGGGTTTCAAGCAGCCGGTCCGTGTAGAAGTCCGTGGCACCGCAGGCCTCGAATTTTCCTTCGGTGCTCCCGGTGTTCGGCTTTCTTCAGGGGAATCGGTGCAGGCTTTGTGGTGTAGGATTCAGTGAGATTTCGGGGTTTAGCAATGGATTTCTGCCGATTTTGGGGCTCCCTCTATTCGAACCTTGTGGTTCCCTTGTCTGGAGACGCTGAGACCAGGTGCTTCAATGTTGTAGCCTCAAGTCTCAGTAGTGTACCTCGCGATGTATCCGCGGTCTGGGCGGTTGCGTGCTTCAGCGTGGGATTGGGGGTTCCGAGGCCTCTATAAAGGTTTGTAGACCCTACCCTGACGACCTATAGAGATGACCTGACGTCGGTGTTTGCTTTGCAGGCCACCCCGAGGATGCTATTGCTCTAGGAAGTGAAGCAGATAGAATATGACTCGGGTTTGGGGGTCGCAACATAGTCTCGTTATACGAAGTTTCTGCATGGGCTGTATCACCAAACCTTTGCACTTCCAGACGATCAGCCGAGAAACACGTCAGACCCCAGCGCTGCAAGTTTCACATGTCAGGGCGTGCCGTCACGGACCGGGCATTCACAGTAGGCGCCAGGGGCGAATGCGACGTCCAGGCACGGCGGGCTTTGAGGCTTTGGGACTTCTCAGACGACTTGGGGCTGCGAGTATTCTTTTTGAGTCTGTAGGGCTCAACCTCGTCGCTGAATGAACATGATATGGCAGCGCATGGCAGCCTTTTCAGTTCTTCCCAGACATACTGTAGCCACGACGGCGACTACAAGCCCCTGAACATCTCTGAACCCTAAGCTCAAGGTACTGGGAGATCCAGGGGTACTGCCCCTTCAGCTTTTTGGCTGCGGAAGTAGAGGATCTCGGGGCCGAGGTTGGGGCTTCTAGGGTTTTGGGCGTGCCAGTGTTGCTGGCTCTTTTGCAGCATGGCTATCATGGTTCAGGGGGCTGGGAGCGAGTCTAGGGTTTTAACTTCTGTTCAGGTGTCTGTTTGCGCCGACGGGAAATAGTGAACTTCCTGGCATTGATCCTCGGGATGGTAGCGTCTATACACTACGGCTAGATAGGTAGATAGAAAGATAGATTCGCATTGCTATCTCCGTAGTTTGTTATGGTGAGATGGTGATGCTGGTCATGACTATGGTGCTGGTCATCGCTTCACAAATGAAAAGGGAAGCCAGTATGTATAAGTACCACTGAGCATATATATATATATATATATGTATACATACATACATACATACATACATACATACATACATATTCATATATACATACATATATATATATATATATATATACATATACATATATACATATATACATATATACATATATACGTATATACATATATACATATATACGTATATACATATATACATATATACATATATACATATATACATATATACATATATACATATATACATATGTACATATACACATCTATACATATATACATCTATACACATGCACATCTATACATATACACATATATATATATATACATATGTACATATATACATATATACATTTACACATATACACATATACATATACATATTCATATATGCATGTACGTGTACACAGCAAACTATGCACATATGTAAAAACACATATACACATACACACAAACACACGCACACACACACACACGCTTACGCATTACACACACACACACGTGTGCATATCCATATTCATAGACACATACACACACACACACATCAAGATGTATATGTACATATGTAACACGCACATATGCACATGTATGTATATTATATATAGGTATACGCGCATATACAGATACATACACATACACATATATACACACATACACATACATATATATATATGTATGTATAGATAGATTTACACATACACATCCATGTACACATCCATCCATCCATCCATACATCCATGCATGCTTGCATGCACGCACGCATGTATGCATATACACATATACACATACACGTGTGTGTATATATATATATATAGACTATGTATGTGCATACACACACATGTATATCAGTATAGACGCTTGCAAGTATGCATGTCTCTTTGAATTCGCATGTATGCAGGTCGCGCTACAACACGAATCACGACGTACACGATCAGGTGGATATTTGTGTCAATTAATTACGATACACATGTTTTTGTGGAGGGCAGGTGTGCACACACCAGACATGCTTCGCAATGACTTCTGGAAGAAGTCTTTCACGCCTGATGGGCAGTCTACACGTGCAAATTTTTGTGGACTGTGGCACAATTATGGCACTGGGCCGAAAGGTTTGAAGCGAAATCTGGGCAGAACAGTAGCGGTAGTGTTGACTGGGTAGTACGACTGGGTTGTACTTTCGGAACGACTTTTGCTTTGTTTTCTGTATTTGCAGGTCGGTTGGGTCTTGTCTTATGTGGTATACTATGGGCCATGGGTTGTATCATGCTTTGTGTGCAACTACGCTGTTGTGCTGCAGTTGGCGTATCATTTCGATGGAAGAGATCTGCCTATCAGACGCTTTTGCTACTAAACAGCACTTAGCAACCATGACGTAGACGTACTCCAAGTCTCTGTACACGTATGCTGCAACACAGCACAGGAGCATACAAGAGCGCCATGTGTAGAATTACAAGTACATATACATATACAAGTTTTCATACGCACATGCATAAATACATGCATCCGTGCGCACATACATACATACATGTAAGTATGAAAGTTAAAAATATATGTATATATGCATATATCAAACACAAACATCAGCATACACAAAACTATAGATGTTTGACATCTAAATATATACGGAAACATGACCGTAACCTTCGGAGTTGGAAATGTAGATGTCAATAGTAATATATATATATACACACACACATATTTATACAAGACATCGATAGATAGATAGATCGATAGGTAGGTTGTGGACAGATACTCATGGTCGCAAAGGCCACCACCCGATTTGTTCGTCGCGGTCGCAACACGGAGATGTAACCGTCCAAGAACGCTTCAGCACAATCGCACTTCAGGTTCCTGGTCGTTAAGCTGCCGTTCTGCAGCGTGATAGCGGATTTCTGGTCCGACTGCGCCGCTGGACGGCAGTGTCATATTACGCCCACGGTTTGTTACATGGAAGGTTTTTGGAATTTCGATTAGTCGGGCCTTCGGAGCGCATAAACTCACTGTTGAGGGTCTGACGCAATGTGAACTCTGCCATTTCTCTTCAGCTGCCTTTGGAACTCAGGCCCCTAGTCCTGAGTTTACCCGAATGAGCTTCGAATCCTGGTTTGTCAGACCTCTAGATCTGTCCACAGTCCGAAGACAACCCTCCAAGCTGCAAAGCCTCTGTTGGCTTCGAGAAACCTCTGCAGCCCATACCGATGCCCTCAGCTCGAAACCCCAAACCGAAGCCTAAGCCAAAGCCTTGACCGCCGATGCTGACCGTCATCAAGCTTAAACGCCCACCGGCCGAGGCAACGCGCGTCACATGGCGCATGAGCGCCAAGGAGCGCGTTAAGGTCTGATAACGTGCCCTTGCGATTGTTCATTGTGGGTTTTGGGGTGAGTCTCCCGAGTCTCGGCTGATAGTCATAATGGTGTTGGTGCTAGTTCCTGCGCTATTATATGCCACTACTGCTACCACTTCTACTACTGCTACTGCTGCTACTACTGCTACTACTGCTACTACTGCTACTGCTGCTACTACTGCCACTACTGCTACTACTGCTACTACTGCTACTACCACTACCACTACCATCACCGCGAAACCATTGGTACCACCATCGCTACCACTACAGCTACCGCTATCCCTACCGCCACCGCTACCGCTACCGCCTACCGTACACCGCTATACCGGCGACCGGATACCCTGCCACCACCGCTACCGCTACTGCCGTACACCTACCGTTATTGATACCGCTACCGCCACCACGGCCGCTGCCGCTCCTCCTCCTCCTCCTCCTCCTCGTCCTCCTCCTCCTCCTGCTTCTGCTCCCCGAAACCCAAAACCCGAAGTTCTAAGGCTTCGGCAGACGAAGAAAATCATCGAACCGCTTGACCTTCCCGGCGCCGCCATTTCCCAAATTCCAGGATCCGGGAAGTCCGCTGTTACCCGGCGA